GGAAAAAATGATTCCATAGATGTCATATTTTTTGACATGGAAGGCTATCAAGGACACATTGTTGAATTTTAAATGTACATTAGAGGGGTGCTTGGGTGGCTCAGTCGTTTAAGCACCCAACTCTTGATTTTGGATCAAGTTGTGCTCTCATGATTTGTGAGATGGAGCCCCACGATTCTCTCTCTCCCTTTCTCTCTGCCCCTCTCCCACTTGCACGTGCTCTCCCTCTCTTTCTCTCAAAGCAAACATTAAGATAAAAAAATTGAAATTTAGGTTAGAGAACATTATATTCATTCATTAAAAAAAAAAAGAAGACAGTATATTCACTCATTTTTGTGAAATGTGTCCAAGACACATAATGAAAACTCAGTACAATATTTGTACAGCCACATTCATAGCAGCATTATTCACAGTAGCCTAAAGGTGGACACAAGCCAGGGCCCGGCACAGATGAATGGGTAAGCAAAATGTGCTGTATACTTTCAGTGGGATATTAGCCTTAAAAAGGAAGGAACCTCTGACACGTGCGACAACATGGATGCACCGTGAGGACATTATCCTCAGTGAAATGAGCCAGTCACACAGTTGATTGGCTATCGAATGATTCCACTTGTAGGAGGTCCCTAAATAAGTCAAGTTCACGGGGACAGAAGGGAGACCGGTGGTTGCCAGGAGCTGGGGGAGGGAGACATGGGGAGCTGTTTAATGGGCACAGGGTTTCAGTTTTGCAAAATGAAAAGAGTTCTCGAAACAGAATGAGAGCACTTAGCACTAGTGAGCTGCGCACTTAAAAGTGCTTAAGGTAGTAAATTTTATGTTCTGTCTATTTTACCGGCTTTTAAGAAATTGAAATGAAAATATCACTGTATGTTTAGACACAGAGAGGTACAGAGTTGTTATTTCCGTAAGTTCGAGATTCTGGGGGGCCATTTTTACGTCATCTTCCATTTCTCTTTGGATTTTGTTTTTTTTTTTTTTACTTTGAACATGAATCAATTTTACCAAAACCAGACGCCCATGTTCAAAAGATCTAAAACGTCTGCAGGTTTTCAGTGTTTTGGAGAACATGGGGATGGTAGAAGCTACTTTTTAAGAAAATGGATTTTTCAGGAAAGAAGAGAAATGGTCAGTGCGGCCTGAGAAATTCGTCAGACGCAACAGAAGTCCTCGGTGCCAGGAGGTGAGAGGCAGAATGGGGCCTGGGCACCCGTCTGCACCGAGGCTGCGGTGAGAGCTCAGCCCGCTGTCCCCTCGGCCCGGCCCGGCCGGCCTGACCTTGCTCACAGCCGAGGCCTCGCCGGGCCCTCCCGGGAACCGTGCTTTGCTCGGGATCTGGCCAGCAAGGAGGAGTTTGCAGGCGGCCGTTGGCCCAGGGCTGGCCTGCTGCCTTGTCCTCCAGGCCCTTCCCAGCGCCTCACCTTGCTTGCACCCCGGGAGTGTCACGGACGGCGCCCATCCTCGCAATGCCCTTCAGTTCAGAGCCAGGCTCTGATCTCGCTTCCCGGGCCCAAGTTTCTGTTGAAGACCGTCAGCCCTTAGGGTCTGTGCAGGGAATAACCCGCACAGCGTCCCGGGCAGATGATTCATTTCAACCCTGGCTGATCTCTGCATTTTGACCTAATGGCTCTATCTCGGGCTCCGGAGCCTGTATCCTGTTTGCGACGGAGAGCCTCACCTCTGCACTGTGAATATGTTCCCACGCACACCCAAGCCTCAGCGGCTCCTTTCCCAACACTCGCTTTTCTACCCATTTGGGATTTTGAAAAACAAAAAAACAATGATTCGGTTAGTTTGGGTTTCCCATTAAATTAATATTTTCTGTTTTACTTAAGGCACTGTCAACACAACCTCAGTATCAGATTATGGCCTCTTTTAAAAATACTAAATATTTTGAAAACAGAAGAGTACAGAGAACACTGTAACAAACACCTGTGCTCAGACCACCCAGAAGTAATAAACATTAACATTTTATAAGGATGACTTCAAGTCCAGAGTTCTAATTTTATTGCTTTATTTAAAATTTTTTAATGTTTATTTATTTAAAAAAATTTTTTTAAATGTTTTATTTATTTCTGAGAGAGAGAGAGAGCAGTGAAGGGTCAGAGAGAGAGGGAGACACAGAATCCAAAACAGGCTCCAGGCTCTGAGCTGGCAGTCAGCACAGAGCCCGATGCAGGGCTCGAACCCACAAACCGCGAGATCATGACCCAAGCCGAAGTCGGACACTTAACCAGCTGAGCCACTCAGGCGCCCCAATGTTTATTTATTTTTGAGAGAGACAGACCAAGAGTAGTGGAGGAGCAGAGAGAGAGGGAGACACAGACTCGGAAGCAGCTCCAGGCTCTGAGCTGTCAGCACAGAGCCCGACGCAGGACTCGAACTCACGGACCACGAGATCACAACCTGCACCAAAGTCGGATGCTCCAGAGAGTTCTCATTTTAAAAGTAAATTTGACCTCTGTGGAGGGGCAGAGCTGGCCTCGGGACAGAGTGGAGCAGGCAGAACCCCTTCCCTTCCGCAGCCGGTGGCTGTTCCTCGGGCGGGCAGCGGTGGCCAGGGGTCTGTGGCAGGCTGCACCACCACACCACGCCACGCCACACACGACACGGCTGTCCCAGCGGCTGCTCTCCGGGGCTCTAGGGGGACCCGTGGGGTCCTCAACTCCCCTCGAGAGGAGACCTGGTTATGAGTCACACAAAAAGTTCCAAGCAGAAGAAAGGAAGGTTCCGGACACCAGAGGAAACAGACCTGCATCCAGGAGGTGGCCAACTGCTGGAATCCCAGCTTGCTGGTGCCTCGCTCTGCTTCATTCTTCTTCACTCTCGCTCAGTTCACACACTGGAACCAGCCTCCCATGGCTTCCGAGCCTACCTGTGACCTGCGCGGCCACAACTCCACGTTAGGGGGCGAGGATCCGATGGTCTCCCCTGGGTGGGATGTCCACCTCTGGTCCCGGGAGCTCTGTGGAGGGTGGCCGGCCCTCGTAGGGCCAGCATGGCTGCCAGGCTCCCACCTCCTGCGCCCTGTGGATTCGGGAGCTAAGGGCTGTTCTCAGGAAGGGCCCCCCCCCCCCCGCCCGTGGTGCGTACTGTCCAGGGCGCAGTCCTGCGCTGTGAGAAGCATACCGCTGGAGTTCTGGCAAAAGTGACCAACGGCTGTCTGGGCTAGATGCCTGGGACTTGGGAAGGCACACGGAGGGCTGCTGATGGCAAGGAGAAGAATAAAGATGACAGCCCCCGCTGAGGGCACACGGAGCAGGTGTTCTGTGGGGCTTGCTGTCACCGAGAGGACCGTGGAACAGGTCTCTGTACAGAGTCCCATGTTTATGAATGGACAGTGCTCTAATATTGATACTAATGTCTTTGTACTCCTTTTTTAAAAATAAATATTTATTTAGAAAGTATGTGCAAGCAGGGGAGGGCAGAGAGAGAGGGAGTCAGAGAGAGAGAAAGGGAGACAGAGAGAGAGAAAATCCCAGCTGGGCTCCATGCTCAGTGCAGAGCCGGACTCAGGACTCGAACTCACGAACCATGAGATCATGACCTGAGCAGAGATCAAGAGTTGGACACTCAACAGACTGAGCCACTCAGGTACCCCAGGTGTGTGTGCTCCTTCCATGAATGTTTAGACTGACGTGCCAGGGACTTCACTGGGCATGAGAGGACAGTGACAATCCCACCCCATCTCCTTCGAAGGGCTTTCTGAGGGTGTGAACCCTGCACGTGTATTATTATGAGAGGTCGGCTCCACGTTTATGGGAGCAGTGTCGCAGCAAATGAACGCTTCCTTCTCTTTCTGCGATCACTCCCACTTCTAAAAGTCTGTGCATGGGTCTGACCCTCATACGCCATTTCAAGTGTTTCCTGGAATGAAGCAGGATAGGTATATCTAAATATATAAAATGAGGTCCTGTGTATATTTCCATGCTGGCTCCGTAGAAAACGGGAGCATAACACTAAAATTGTGGTACCATTTTGACCAGATAGATAGTGATCCTTTATAATGGTTTTTCCAGAAGGTACTTTCTAAGCTTGGACGTGGGATGGCTTGCCCTGGAGGCAGATGGAGGCTGGAGTGGAGTGAGCCTCACATACCACAGGTCATATGTTGGCTGCCTTTTATTTGCTCATCGAAAGTATCCCCTCGAGGCTCTTCACTGGGTGAGCTCAAGGCTGCAGCCGCTCTGCTGGACCGACAGCAGTGGCCTGAGTCTTGGACTGACGATCAGACACATTTCGGAATCCATCTCCTGGATTGCTTAACTTTTAGACGCGGGACTGTGTGTGACACATGTGACAGTGCCATGTGCTGGGTGACGGGGGGCGTCTGCAGACTCCCAGTCCAGCCGGGGATACCTCTGGCTCACTCCACACATGGGGCGTACGCGTGGGCTGGAGAGACGAGGCCTAGAGCATGTGGACAAGCTGCACGGGAAACCAGTCATTCCGGGGTCCCCTCACCTTCTGCCTGCTCATCTCGGCCTCCCACGGGTATGGGAGGAGGGCCCATTCTCACGCAGCTGTGCCTCACCCCGAAAGCCCATTACTCATGACTGACAGTTGAGGCAATGGGGCACAGGTGTGTGGTCTGACCTCAGCGGCTTCCTGATGCACCCCAGTAATTCCCGATTCAGTGCTGCAGGGAGAACTCAACCAAGCCGAAGCCAGATCCTCTTGTGTCCCTGTGCTCCAAGGTCACAAACCAGCCGTTAACCCAGGGCCCTGTCTTCCCCATGTTTGTAGCCTAAGCACAGAGTCTGACATATAATAGGTGCTCAGTTATTTGATATTCAGTTTTGAACTCGTTAGTCTTAATTATTTTGTATTTAGGTTATCAAAGCGCCTCGTGCTCATAAACAAATAAATGATTGCCTATCAAGCCAAACTATTTTTTCTGCTTGTTCTATTCCAGAAGTAACTTATATCGCAGGCCTTTGGACGGTGCGCTGACCGAAGGCATGATGATTATAACATGAAGTCTCTTTATATCTGTCTTTCAGATTATTTGAATATATTTTGCTCTATAAGGATGGAGTGATGTTTCAGATTGAACAAGCCACCAAACAGTGCTCCAAGATCACCCTGACGGAGCCCTGGGACCCTCTAGACATTCCTCAGAACGCCACCTTTGAGGACCAGTACTACATCGGGGGACCCCTAGAGCAGATCACCGTCCAGGAGTGGTCTGACAGGAAGTCGGCTAGATCATGTAAGGCTTCAAAAAATATCCAAGGGCTGCGTCCCAGGAAGCATGATGGGAAAAAAGGTTAAGTCCACTAAGGAAGGTAGTTAACATTTAAAAGCTTAATCCAATTGTTTAACATCCACCCCCCCCCCCAACCTGCTTCGGAGCCCCCGTGTGTACTCTACTAGTCGTTTAGCTCCAGGGTGTAAGCCTATTTGAAACACCCCCGCCTTCCAGCACCACCTGTACCTTTCTACCACCTTGGCTGTTATGGGCTTAGCCTTGGCTCTGATGTTTAATAAGCCTGAGATCTGGGACACGGAAGATGTCTGTCTAAGGTATATGTTAGAGTCTCTGTGTCACTTCCTCAAATTACAGTGTCCAGATCCACTCCCATTATTCTGAGCATCTGCTTTTGTGTATAGAATGGAAGCTGTTCTCGGCGGTGCCTCTGCATGCCCACTCCGAAGCTGTTTCGGATACACAGGCGTTAGGGCTTGTGTGGGAAACAGGCCAAAACAGTGTGAAAACAGTTCCCTCCATCCCCACCCCCGCCGCCGAGTTTAGCATACAATTAGCATATGACCTAGCGATTCCACTGCTGAGTGTACATCTGAAGGCACGGAAAGCAGGGACTCAAGAAGATACGTGTGCACCCAGGTTTGCAGCAGCATTCTTCATGATAATGAATGAGTGAATAATGAATGAATGAATTCTGCCAGATGGTGGAAACCAACCCAGGTGTCCCTCAGCAGAATAATGAATACCCAGAACGGACAATGTGAGAACAGACGATGGATTGCTATTTAACCCTAAAAAAGGAAGGGATTCCGTCACATGCTACCACGTAGATGAACCTTGAGGACATTATGCTGAGTGAAATAAGCCAGTCAGCAGAGGAAACATACTATATAATTCCACTTACGTGAGTTGCCTAGAGTAGTCCCGTTCTCAGCGACAGAAAGTGGAATGGGGGTGCCAGGGGCTAGGGGAGGGGAGTGCGGAGTTAGTGCTAAAGGGCACAGAGTTTCAACTGGGGAAGACGAAAAAGTTCTGGAGACAGAGGGTGGTGATGTCTTCACAACAATGTGGACGTACTTGGTGCCCCTGAACGACTTACAAATAGTTATGATGGTAAATTTTATGCATATTTTCCCACAAGAGAAAAAAAACACAACACGGTCGTCCTGCCTGCCTTCTACATCACAAAGTCACCCTCCCTCCCTCTTACAGATGAAACCTGGATTGGCATTTACACAGCCAAGGATTGCTACCCCGTCCAGGAAACCTTCACCAAGAACTACAGCGTGATACTGTCCACGCGGTTTTTCGACATACAGCTGGGCATTGAAGACCCCTCGGTGTTTACGCCGCCCAGCACCTGCCAGACGGCCCAGGCCGAGTGGCTGGGGGGCGACTGCTCGTGGGAAGCCCGTGAGCGCAGAGGTGCTGGCCTCGGACGTCATCCCCACCTCGAAAGGAACGTGAGGCTTTCGAGAAGTAAGAACCTCCCCTGGAGATACATGTCCTCCTTGTAGGAAGATGCACGTCGATCGGGGTTCTCTGTACATACTTTGTTGACTACTCGCGCCTTGTTTACAGAAGGGACTGGACTGGAGGATGTGCGGGGACAGGAACGGAAGGGAGGGCAACCCGGGGACTTCAGTCAGGCGCCCAGCCTGCACGGGCGCTGGCCCCCGTGTGCCAGGTGTGTCCAGGTGTGCCCCCCCGCGTGCCAGGTGTGTCCAGGTGTGCCCCCCCGCGTGCGCAGGTGTATCCAGGTGTGCCCCCCGCGTGCGCAGGTGTGTCCAGGTGTGCCCCCCCCGCGTGCGCAGGTGTATCCAGGCGCACTGGCGTGCACGGGCGGGGCCGGCAGGAGCGCTGTGCCTGGCGGGGAGCAGTGTTTCATCACTGGCGTGACTGAAGATAGCTGCCACCGGGTGACAGTAAAAGGCAGGACGATCTTGGTCAGTGTTACTGTTAACTTGTACGCGCTCTACAGATAACGGCTCCTTTACTGCCGGGCCGGGGGCTGAGTCCTCCCCCAGCCCCACCTCCTGCACCTGTCGCCACCGACTTAGTGATTCCTTAAAATCCCTTCCAGGAGTAAGGGCTTTATGGCATGACCTGAGTGATGTAAATTTGGGGAGGAAACAAAAGGCCATAAAGCAAAGTAATCATGCCTCCAAGAGACACTGTAAAACGAGAGGGTTTGAAAATCTTGATGTCTGTACCTAGGGAAGCATGAGCTATGTATGCTACCTTTTTTTCTATGCAAGAGTATTGATACATACGTGCGGAATCATCACGTATTTGTCAGGGGATCTAGAAAGACAGGTAGTATTCTCAAAATAGCACTGAGTCAGAAGTCAGGAGACTGTTGTCTTCAAAATCCAGAAGAGGGATTCCTTTGTACTTGAACTCCTTTGATTAACTAAATGCACTACCTTTGGCTCACCTGGGCCTTCCTGGGGCACTTGTTTCACACCCTCTGTGTCTGTATGACCTCTGCTCACCCCTGGCAGGCCAGCTGGCACTTGACCTTCAGAATGCTGCTCCCGAGCCCGGATCGGGTGCACCCTGTAGCTTGAGCATGCTGTTCTCATGATACTGCTTCGGCTGTGTGCTCGCTTCCTGCTTACTGGACACTGTCACCCACTAGCTTGGCTACGAGCTGCTTGAATACGGGTACCGCGTTGTGCTTACTTTTATATGCCCAGCACCAAATAAGTGCCTGGCACATGGTCAGTGCCCTAAACATTTGTAGAGTGGGGGACGCCAGCCTGTCTGGTCCTTGGTTTCCTCATCTGTTCAAGGGTTGGGTTGGGTTTGCTGACCTCTAGGGAGAGTCTAAGTAATAAAATTTATTATTCTAGATTTTTCGGCGATTGTGTTTCATCTGGCTATCGCCTATTAGTAGGAGAAATGTGTGACATCTGTAACATGCTGAAAACAATCTGTATTACTCACAGTTTATTTCAATAAACAAGTTTAATTGCACTTCGTGTTCTTTCATACATTTAGTCTTGTCATATATGTGGGTTCTCTTGGTTATTTGGGAGTCAAAACTCCTCTCTGATGAATAATAAGGTGTCTCCTGGGGTCGCTGTCCTCTCTCAAAGGCTTGCTCTTTCTCTCAAGGCCCCGTTTCCTGGGCTGGAAGTTGGGCATTCTCGGCCCGTTTCTCTCCTGTATCCTTACAGGCGATCAGTGTCCCGAGCATGTCAGTGTAGCTCCTGTGGGTCCCCCTCAGCCTCCATCCAGGTCCAGGCTCTTATGCTCGCTGGCCTTTGCGAGATCTTCACAGCCTCTGTCTCCCCTGCTCTTTTCTCGCGAAGCCATCCTCTGCTCTGTGAGTCCCAGGGCGACACTGAGCCCCCGTTATCTCCAGAGCCCACGCCCCTGGGGTCTCAGAGCAGAGCGAGGCCCGAGCAAGGCCGGCATCTGGAACGCACACACGGGGCCTTCTAGCTCCCTTCGAGCTGGGCCTGCCCGATAAAGCCGTTGTGACAGCGTCTGCCCACTTCCTATCTCTCTGCCCACATGATGGTCCCCAACCCTTACAGAGGGGCCCGTGTCCCCTGAGCCTGGGATCTCAGGCTCTGCCCACCCCAGTGCACAGAAAGGAAAGGAACTCCTTTTCCTTTGTTCAGGGGCATGCAGATGCCCTTGCGTTCTGCTCTTGGCCTGTTTTAGTAGTTGAGCCATTCTGCAGGTATGAATAAAGTCTCTCTTGCAGAAGGGTTTTTTTTTTAACATATTATTTATTTTTGAGAGAGAGAGACGGCATGAGCAGGGGAGGGTCAGAGAGAGAAGGAGACACAGAATCCGAAGCAGCTCCAGGCTCTGAGCTGTCAGCACAGAGCCCAACACGGGGCTCGAACCCACAAACCATGAGATCATGACCTGAGCTGAAGTCGGACGCTTAACCGACTGAGCCACCCAGGCGCCCCTGCAGAAGGGTTTTTTATCAGTGGGCCTTGACTCCACCTCTGTTGGTGTCCTCTGGGCCCCTGCTGTGTCAAGGGAAGGGGAGGCTCCTTAGCGCCGTGCCCCCTGGCCTGCTGATCAGGCCTGCCTCCTTTCCAGCCTCAGCGCTCATGCTGCTCTCTCTTTCCCAGCTGCCACCCCAGCCTGAGAAGGGAGGCCTGGGTCCCCCCCTGGGCGGCAGGGGGCCTTCCCTAGTCACGAGTCTTATGGAAACACTCTCTGGGGGACGTGGGAGTCATACAGAAGAGGGCTGGTGCGGAGGGCAGGGAGGGCAATTTCATTGCTCCTACAAATGAAAGGACCGCCCGGTGCCTCTGACCTTAGGCCACGTTGGAGCGGCTTCCACCTCTCCCAAGACAAGGTGCCAGGACCCACGCACGTGCTGGGTGTTCTCTACCCTCCGCCTCCAACTCCGAGGGCCCATCCCTCGCCACCGCCTTCCGTCCTGCTCCCACTGGCCCACGGGAGGCGAAGGGCCTGGCCTCTCTGTCCCCCACCGCTCTCTTATCAGGGTGACTTTCTTGCACAAAGTTTTGCTATTTGAGATAATGTTGCACTTCCTAAAACTGAAACATGTTTCAAGATTATTTAAATGTGTTAAGAAGGCCAAAGAGTTGAGACCTCTGGGGACATTTCTGACAGTCTCTTCATTCCCCCCCACCCCCCACCCCGGCGCTAAATTCCACACCATTTGGAAGGTCATTTACTTACCTCTTGCTGGATTTCCTTTATAAACTCCACCCTCTGCATGTTCCCTCTGTGATTTTTATTTTTATATATTTTTAAATGTTTATCTATTTTGGAGAGAGTGTGTGTGTGCATGAGTGGGGTCGGGGGCAGAGAGAGAGGGAGAGAAAGAGAATCCCAAGTAAGTTCCTCACTGTCAGCACGGAGCCTGATGTGGGGTCGATCTCATGAATGGTGAGATCATGACCTGAGCAGAAACCAAGAGTTGCGGTTCAACCGGCTGGGCCACCCAGGCGCCCCACCCCTCTGTGACTTTAAATCACTTTGCCTATGTATTCACCTGTAACACAAAGGGTGTTTTTCAGTTTTTCCAAGCATGTAGCTCTTCTCTTCCTCCTTCAGTTGAAAGCAGCTTAAATGTAGTAATGGCGTCCTTGCTGTTCTCACTGAGTTAAAATGACTTCAGCTGGAGGACACAAAGGCTCATGAATAATGTATGAGATTTAAAGGCATCTCTTTAAAAGACACACTTGGGGCGCCTGGGTAGTTCAGTCGGTTGAGCATCCAACTTCAGCTCAGGTCATGATCTCATGGTTCATGGGTTCGAGCCCTGTGTCGGACTCTGTGCTGACAGCTCAGAGCTTGGAGCCTGCTTCAGATTCTGTGTCTCCCCCTCTCTCTGCTCTTCCCCTGCTTATGCTCTGTCTTTCTCTGTTTCTCAATAATAAATAAATATTAAAAAAATAAAAAAATAAATAAAAGACAAAGTTGGCTTTATATATGGATCTCTCAGCATCGATCATCTTTTCTACTAAGAATTGTGCTAGGATGATGACCAAAATACCTTTTTATTTGTTTTAAGGCAGTATTAGTAGCTCAGCTACAGGTAAAGAGAAAGATTGTGCCTATAATTTGTTGTATATTGTATTCAGGGAAAGTGATGCTCACTTTTATGGTATCCCAATTTAAAAATTCACATTGCTTCCATTAGAGCAAAAATTAATGCACATTTATAATATCTATTCCATACTTAATGGTGGAAAATGTAATAGAGCCTCAGCAATCAAAGAGTGGGCTATAATTATTCTATAACTTGGGAATGATTTGCAGTGAATACAACATACACAGTGTAGGTAATCTGAGCATACATGTGTGTGCTAGGCTGCTGCAGCTGCTACCTTATTCCCAATGGCATACTTCATATTTATTTTAACATACATTTGCTCAAATCATATAGCTAAGTGTTCTTATCCTTCCTTAGGATAATTAAAGACTTTTTAAAATGTTTATTTATTTTTGAAGGAGAGAGAGACAGAACATGAGCAGGGGAGGGACAGAGAGAGAGAGGGAGACACAGAACGCAAAGCAGGCTCCAGGCTCCAAGCTGACAGCACAGAGCCCGATGTGGGGCTCAAACCCACGAGCCACAAGATCATGACCTGAGCCAAAGTCAGACACTTATCTGACTGAGCCGCGCAGTCGCCCCCTTTGGATAATTTTTGATGGCAAAACCGGTACTCTTCTTACTAAAATATGACTGCTGTCATTGTAATTTTCAGCTGAGCTCTATAGTTTCAATAAAGAAAATTACCCAAAAAGTACAAATAATAAGTCAATGGGTTATCTTATGAAATGATTTTTTGAACCTGAAGTACTTTATTTAGTAACTTCTCAATCTCCTTGATTGAGAACCTTTCTCCAGGTTGAGAAAACACGTAATAGTTTCCCAACCAGGAGGCGCCAACCTAAACTACTGAAGTTTTCAGTTAACTAAATACACACACCTATTTGATTAACAGTAGCATTTTGGGTTAGACACGTGGGGAGTTATATATATTATATCAATGTAGGGCCTCTTGGTTTTGTTCCACTCCTTGTGGTGGAAACAGTACCTTTGCTTAGAGTCATGTCGTATTTGTCCTACCTAATGGAGTGAGTACATCTCAGCAAAGCCAAGTTTCTCATCAAAGTCCATTGGAACATGTAGAATATCAGGAAATATCAAGTTGTATTGAACACTTTTGATGAGAAAAAAACTTAGATACAAGTTATTTCTGGGGCACCTGGGTGGCTGAGTTGGTTAAGCGTCTGACTTTGGTTCAGGTCATGAACTCATGGTCCAAGCCCCACGTCTAGCTCTGTGTTGACCGCTCACAGCCTGGAGCCTGCTTCAGATTCTGTGTCTCCCTCTCTCTCTGCCCCTCCCCTGCTCACGCTCTGACTCTCTCTCAGAAATGAATAAACATTAAAAAGAAGCTATTTCTGAAACACTCTGTAACCACATTGGTCAATGGGTATGTGTGATCAACAGTCGCAATTCTGTCTCTTTTTAGCAAGGCTCTTTGTTTTGGCAGAACCTTTTGGTTTTAAAGTGTTAAACGACTTTTTCTTAGCAGCTTTAGCCTTTTTAAGGGCTTGGGGATAATAATAAAGTGAATACATAGATTGGTCTGGCTTGCACAATCTCAGGAATCTTTACTGATTTATGGTATACATTAGCATCATGGAAATGAGGATGAACTCAAAGTGAAGTCTCAAGCTCAACAAAGCTGTCTGCTTTTGTGAAGTTTCTTTTTGGCTAAACTTCCCTTCACTTAACCAACTTTTATAATTTCCTCTCAAATCAGCAACTACACACAAGTTCTTATCACCAGAATTCACACTACACAAAAAGCAACCAATAGCACTGCAAAGATTTTGGGAGGGTCCCAATACTCCTTATGTGTCCTATTTGATATCATCACATATCATGATTCTAGAAATCTTATATATTCTAGCACATGTGGTGTATGTCCCAAATAGCAAAGAGAACTGAAGAATAATGATAGATTGGGGAGGAGAAAGGGGAAGGGAAGGAGAGGGAAAGGAGAGAAAGAGAAGGAAGAGGAGGACACATCATTTGGTGTATCATCATCAATTCTCAATCCAGAGTTATTGATGTGTATTGAATAGATATGAGAACAGCTCAAGCCATTACTGGCAACACCTGAGTGATTTTCAGTTCAGATATCTCCCCTGTAAGTTAGCATTTCCATAGTGACAGTTCTTCCTTGAACTATGAACCATTGGCCCCTTCTACCAGAAATTCAGAAGTATTCACATGCCTAGGATCTATGCACCCAATAGTAGATGTTGCCATTTTATAAGGAAGGAAAAGAGCCTGAAGGAGAAAGTCTACTGTTTTGGGAAATACTGCTTTTCAGTTCAGTAAATGTGAAATAATTTTTATTTTGTCTACTAAGAACAACTAATGTTCAGTATTCTGGTGTGCTCAGATGTGTAGTAATTGAACCTTGTGGAACACTTCTCAGTTTAACTTTTAT